TGAGACTAATAAAACCTTTTTTCTACAGATATTTAATAACGTATCTTTCCTAAGAACATTTTTCATAAGAAAGTAGTACTTAAATTTATACTTTTATTCTCAGTTCTATATTTGAACACTGCAATCACCACCTCTGGAATCAACTTAATCATTGTCTGAATCGATAACTTTTTCAACTAAAAATATCACTAAAAATGACATCACTCAAAAATGTTGAAATTGGAGTTAGTCATTCTGTGATTTATAAAAGCAGATAGAGTGAATAGATTTTTATTACCTCTCGTCGATATATTAAATAGTCATTTTGTAATTATAATGGTCTTAACGACTTGTTATCTGTAAGCTTTAAGCTTTAGCTCCGTTTAAAATGCACTTCAAAAAAATTTATAATAGCCCAGCTTTGCCAAAAAATAATTTCTATTTCTAGTAGTACGGTAAGTGAAAGTTGTGTGTTGTGCACACCAGATTTTTTTTAGGATATTACTAATGATTAAAAAAAAATGTTTAGTCCAATAATTGGAATCACGTTTTATTTTTTTTTCTTTGTCACTAGGAAGGTAATGTTACCTATGATGTATTTGGATATTGAAATTTTTTTGGAAATAATAAACCATTGTGAAATAATTTGCAGCGTTTTTTATTTATTTTTGATGAATTGTTTAATGCTGTATCGCTGAACGCTATGATTTAAAGTTCTATTGCCATTGTTTAATATAATTATATTTATTTACATGCTAATAAATAAATAAATTACCGTATTGTAAGAATAACTGACAAGAAATAAATAAGAATATGCAGGGCAAGTAACTTTTACTTTATATATTCTTTCTATACCTAGTGCTTAATGCAAGGCTTGAGGATATTTTAAATCTAACTATTTTCTTCCGTAAAACTTCGCCGTATCCTAAATTCTTTATTGGCAGTTCTCTTCCATTAGTCTCCAAATATTTTTCGTTAGCTCGTAAAAAAAATATGTCGTACAAGCCTTAGAGGACTGTCAGTTGGATGACGAATATTAATGATGCCATATTTTTCTAAAAGTGTACAACAGGGGCACTGTGCAGACAATGGTCATCATATTTTCGGACCGCTAATGGCTTTATCGTGTACGCAGGCCATCGTGAATCCTTATCGCTATTTCGTCATTTTAAAAATAATTTGAATTATTAACTTTTTTATACAATTTTTTTTAAAAAATATTGATCATAAAATGCTAGATCCTATCGTTTCCGAGAATATTTCAGATTTCACCATATAATAGAGGTATTTTGATGAGATCGTTTGTGTTTAACAAATGTTTGGTTAATCATGAAAATCAGTTTGTTTTTTGGTTTAAAAAATATTCGGTTTTCTAATGCTTCAAAAGTTTATGTAGGATTCACTTTGTATTGGAGCGGATCAAGCCAAGAAGGGGTCTTAAAAAGTACGCATTGCGGTACAGAAAAAGTACTTTGAGAGAAAAAAAATCTACTTGAGGCCATAGATTTAAAATTTTACTTACATAACATTTGTTCAACGACTTCATTGAACCTTTTAAGTCATTTCCAGAATTGTCAAGTAAACAAAAATCAAGAGCTTAGTGCCCTTTAAAACTCTACAGTCCTGCGCGACTGTTTACTGCTTAATTCGGCTTTGTAAGCACATCATAGAGAAGAGGAAAGTTTGTAAAACTGATCCTTCCTTCAATCAACTTAACTAATTTTACAGATCTAGTCTTGTCTATTTCTAAGTTATTAGTTAGGTAATTCATTTTTTTTTTTTTTTTTTTTTTTTTTTTTTTTAGACCTTTCTTTATCACAGTGCTAGAAGTGATATTTATTTATTATGTTAAATCAGCCTTAAAAAGATTCTGGGATCGCAAAACCCTTCTGGGACACACTTCTTTTTCTTCTCATTCGTTGGTCTCATCTACCTCGCAGTTTTGAAATGTTTGCACACGCAGTTCCATCCGTCTCTGTCGAGGGCTGCTCTCCTGGCTTCCGGCCATCCAATCCCTTTCCCTTTAAGGATATTTTGAAGTTATCTTCTCAAGTAATTCTTGTCCTTCCTCTTGGTAGTTTTCCCGCTGGTTTAGTCTCTAGTTTTCTTCGCTGAACGACAGTCAACCATCCTCATAACATGACCGAACCATCGAAACTGCACTTTCTCTGTTATCTGATCGAGGGATTCACTGTTGAGTATATTCAGTTTCGTTGTGTTACTTATCCGGTCTTTTTGGACTTCCTCTCTGTTTTTCTCTGATACTTTCATTTTCATGCCTTGGAGGCGGCTGCTATCATATTTCTTTAGGGCCCAGGATATGCTTGATCAGTGAGGATAGAAACGAACGTATCGCTTACAAACTGGGACGCATTCAGCCACCGTATGAATACTTGATCCTTCGGTGGGTTGATTGGGTGAAAAATTTGACGGTCTTGTGTGATCCTCAGCAAATAACGTAAGCAATAATTAAGTAAATAAATCATGAGCAAATTATTTTCGTTCATAACCGTTAGTCAAGAGACAGAACTTTCTTAGAAAATACTGAACACTATACCTTTAATTGGTTGTTGTGGTACTTACTATTGGTTCAAGTAGTAATATGAAACTGTTTCTGCGTTAACGCCATACACAATTAGTTTTATGCCTAATGCGATTCAGGTATTGATTTGGGAAAAAAAAAAAAAATTCTTCTCACTCGTAATTTTCATCTATCTTTCTTCACTATTTGGAACAAAGCACGATATAATAAAAGTATTTAAGTAATCATGAAGATAATAGCATTTAATTTACATTTAAGCAATTGCAACAACTAATGCTGCTTCTATACCGCAATGCCGTAGGTAGGATGGGCGGTTCACCGACAAAACATTTTTTTTAAAGATCCAGGATAATTCGTTTAGATCTCTGGTTGCCTAATACTTTTTTTTTATAAATTTGTATTTTTATCTTTTTTTCTTATCCCCTTCCAAATTGTTAATTCGTATCTATTTATTTAATTATAGTTTTTGTTGTTTTAAAATTTATTTGTTCACCTTAAATTCTTTATGAGTATTTGCATGAAAGTAAGCCATTTCGATTTAAAAAAAAAAAAAAAAAAAAAAACCTCAAACTCTATTTCTGGAGGAAATATATTATTTGAAATTGAATCGTAATACATTTAATTTTTAGTGTATTTGTTGTGACAAATAACTAAAAATTAATTCATGACTATTTAAACTAATTTTATAAAAACGAGTTAGAATTTTTCCATTCTATTAGAGACCGTTATTACAACCTGTTTGTCTGTTTACTTCTTCATATTCAGTTTTTATCCTGGAGAATAATAAATAATAAAAAAAAAATTGACAGCAGTTAAGAATTAGCATAGTTGTTCTATGGCATGTTACTTTCCAACCTTCATTGCGACGAGGTCAATAATGTGACGTTATAATAAAAAAGAAAAGGAAAAAGTTGTCAATTTATCCAGGAGGTAATTATTTCAATAGTCGTTGCAGATATTGCATAAAAGTATACCGTGATGTTAAAGTAATTAACTTTCGCTAGGGTCGATTAACTCATGTCCTTCAAGTGTTAATAAAATTGTACACTACCATGTCAAGTCATCGTAAATTACCATAAAGTGCCGAATGTTTATTACCACTTAGGATTTAAATCTAATGAAATGAAAGGGGCTATTTGATTTCATCAAAAGAAGAAACATTAAGTAATTTTATCCTATATTATGGGATAAAACCTGATTTAGGGATGGTCTTCAATTGTCGAAATATCGACATTTTCCTTCCTATAATCGATATTTTACCATCGGTAGTATCTTCTTCTATATTATCTACTATCGACATAGTCCCTTTGATTTATTAATATTTTAATTTAAACATAAAAAGTAAAAAAATATCGTTTTCAGAAAGCGGTAGAAATTATATATGAATCTGATCGTTAAACAAAAATTATATTCATCTTGCCTGTTTAATATAAAATGTAGTGCGAATAAAATATCGTTATTTGGATGATATCGACTATTGATTTCCATCTCTAAGTAGAGTGGAATAGCGCGCGTTGGACCCTTCTCACTGAGTAAACCCAATTTGCCCAAATTTGTTAGTTAAAACCTTCTCAAACCAATGCCACCAATCGTAAAAGAAATCTAGAATGAAAATAAATTAGTATTTCGCTGAATCCCATTTATGGGTAAATGGAAGCCATAATTAGTGGTTGAATAGAAATTTCTGGATAAAAACTGAGGATGACGAAGATGGATAGGAACCACTAAATTAATTTTATTAGAAGATGGTAGAAGAATTGATATTCCCATTAATTAATTAAAAGAAAAAAATGACATATTTTTTTATGCGTCTATGTGCTAAAGAATCAATATCTATATTCATATTCATATTTCAAAAATGTTTATAATATCGACTATCGATATTTCAAGTCGAATATTTTGATGGTATCGATCGTTATAGGCTATAATCGATGTCAATGACCATATCGATACTGGGTATTCGATATCTCACCTCTACTCCGATAGGCAGGCATTCATAATCATAATCTCTGAAATATTTACCGTAAAATTTTTGGTTTATTATTTTCAATAATCAACCACTGTGATCGACCAAAAAATTCAAAAACTTAACCTTCTCTCAAAATTTGAGGTTTCGCGATTCAGAAGAAGTGGAATTCGAAAAACGAATACATTTTATTTTTGTCTGATATTGTATATGGTTTTTTAAAAGTTTACTAAATTTCCTTAAAAAAAAAATCGTTCAAATCGGACAATTAGGAGTAAAGATATGGTCTCGGGTTTTTTTTAAATATGTTCTACTACAAATGTTATATCCTTGGTTTGGTTTTTAAATTTTGAATGTGTTACTGGAGTAATGCTATTTTTTTTTAGCATATTACTAATGATTAAAAAAAAAGAGTTTAGTCCAATAAGGAATCACCTTTTGTTTATTTTTCTTTGTAACTCGGAAGGTAATGTTACTTTAGATGTATAATTGTTTGGAAATAATAAACCATTGTGAAATAATTTGCAGCGTTTTTTTTATTTGATTCCGTTAGCAATTCGTTTATTACCTGGTTGATTTTTTCCAGACAATTTTTTCAAACTCTCAGCGTTTTGGAAACCATTGGATCGTTCGCCTCTGACATTTTCACCGCCCAATACGCCGAGGTGGTAAGAGTTCATATACTTTCGATTCGAACGTAACGCCACCTCTTGTGGAGTGATAAATCCATTCTCCTGCTAGTTCTCGCGAAGAATCGTAATCTGACAATGCCTTCCTAGAAAAACTAAGGGAAAGTTATTATTTTTCAATAGCTGTTATGTTAATCCACATTTCTAGTTATATTTATTTTAAATTAAATTAGGATGGTTGTGGCTTAGTGAATTAACAACATAATTCTGAGAAATTTCAGATCTACCTGATCTGGAAAAACAGGAGTACTTTTAAAAATCAAGGAATTTTTAAAATTAAGGGACGCGTCACGCACGTCAGAGTTGTTGATAATCATTATTGGCAATAAAAAAATTAACATAATAGTAATATTTACATATGGGACTATCCTATTGAAGTATCTCTATATCTATGCAGTATGTTCATAGATTTTTCGTCATATACAGTTACTTTATTTTTGTTAGTATTATTCTACTTATGTTCTTAAAACTATTTAAGAAATCTTCTCTAAATGAATATTGGAGGTAATATTTAAATTTTTTTTATAATAGCCTTAGAATATATAATGCTTTTTAATGATTAATATGTATTAAAATTTGAGTTTTTCATAATATAAGATAATTGACTTTTTTAGACCAGGATCCTGATAAGTACTGTGTTTTGTCAAAGTGTTAATTAATATTGAAATCTCAAAAAATTTCCTACAATGTTGTCTTTATCATTTGCACCTTACAGAAGTAGATCCGTTTTAGAAAAGTGCTCCATAAAAGAAAACGATAAAAATTGAGTGATTTTTTAAAAATTTAATTTGGTTACATTTTGGCCATTGTTTGTAGGTGTTCACATCAACACACTACGACGTTATAATGAGATCAGATTTATAATTTTGTGAGTAGTTTTCCAACTAATTTAAAATGAGATTGGACTGCCCCGATCGTTCCAATCTGAGCCCTTATTAAAATTCTCTAATTTAGGAGTATTTTCAACTTAATAAACTTTTTATGACTTCCGATCAACGGTTTTATGAGGACTGAAAATACCTTGTTACACAGGATGACCCAGTTCGTTCCGCCTCTGGATTTTATCGTAGCACAGTTGAGAATTTGGGTCAAGACTTCCTCTTCTCCGATCTCCCTCAAAATGCTAGCTCAACTATCGAGCGACTAATATTTGAGGTGTCAGGAGCCTGACAGTTTTTACCATGCCTGTGTCATATTTTTTCCCCTTTAGCGCCAAGTGAAAGGGAGCCATTTTATGGAGAAGATGACCTTTTGGAGGAAGAACTGAGCGGAGAGAGGAGCGGGCATTTCCCGTAGGTTTTGTTGGGGCCCGCGCTGACCGGGTTATCGTTGCGGCGGGGACTATTGTTGTGTCAAGCCGTCAGGCGTCTTCAATGGCTTTGTTCATTTGCAATCCGCCTACCCTTCAACTTGTCAGTTTGTTTAATGTATTCTGTCCACATTGTATGCCAAAGTGATTAACTATTAGTGCCCTCTTCTTGGGTATTATATAGTGTTTTTTTCTTCTTCTCGGTTTATAATATGATCCCTCTTTACGATTTTAGGATAAATAAATACATTAAAAGATATACCGATAATTTATTTTTTTTCCCTTTAGCCCTATCTCCCCATTTTTGGCGTATGCTTGGGAGAGAGAAAGATTTCTCTTGAAATGAATTTAAACATTCCCAGGTCCTTTTGGAACTTCCGACGATAGGCTCGAGAATATTATAGGTCTACTATTACATACATAGGTCTACACCACAGGTGGATCTACGGGAGAAGGGCTTTCGGGCTGAAGCCCCTCCCCCAAAATGGTGAAATATAACCATGTTTTACAGAAACAAATATTAAAAACTATCGCTTAGAGTATTTATGTTTGTGTAACTATATTTGATAGGACTTCAAGGACCACTTAAATACCATTTTATATAGGTAATTAATTTCTTTCTTTTTTTTCAAATTAATTATCATTATATGTATATGGAAGAAAAATCTTTCGTGCTGAAGCCCCCCCCTCCAAAAATTAAATCCTGGATCCGCTAGTGGTCTACGCCTAAATATGCTCGCCTATCACAGCCTCAATATGATCTCAAGAAGCCGTATAATGCATTTGGCCTGCACACATATGTTCATTGAATCTCTTCAATATCCAAATCGGACCAAGATCAGTCGTTACTTTCGTTTATTTAGACCTTAGGATCCTGGCAGGGGTGCCCAAAAGAGGTTTTTTTTGCCGACGGATTCGACGGAGTTATAAATTTTCGGATTGAATAGTTTCAAACAAAGAGACAAGGGGAATACATGAAACAGACCTCAGCAAGTTTAAGTGTGTATAATTTATGATACTTTTATTTCTAATGTTTTCAAGAAGAGGAAAGCAATAAATATCTTGGATGGGGAGATGGGAGGTTCATGAGCCATCGACTTTGGGAGGGATGGGCACCTCTGGATCCTAGGAAGTTAAACTTTTGGTTCAACTCTTATAACTCTTATACATTATATGAGTATAAGTATAAGTACTAAGTAAGGTACTATACTTATCTAGTCCAGAAGGTTGTTTGCTCTTATATAATTCTCTAGTTGTACCTATTCTTAATCCCGAACCATCCTTTGGGTTAAATGTTCAATTTTTTATGAAGTGTTTTAAAAATTGATGTACTTCTAAATATTGACTATAATGATGACAGACGTAGGTTTCTAGAACTCTTATTTCTCATTGCTATTTATGAGATAAAATTGGTTGTTATTTGAAGAAGCACTCCATTTCAGTCCTACTTAATATTTTTATGGAGGTGAAACAACCTGATTTTATCGTTTTAAAGTCCAGATCATTCTTTTCAGGTATTATACGATTACAGATACTTGAATAAGTAAATTATTCTATGAATACAAAATGTGTTAGGTGATATTTATATCATTTTGACTGGTTAGAGGATTGTTTTTTCGGTTTACTTCGTCCGTTCTATTGACTCTCAACAGGGTTATGATATAGAAAATAAAATGAACACCCAGCTTCTTCACCAAGCTCCTTGTCTAATTTGTTGTTGACCCAGCCTTCCAAACAAAGGTCTCTAACGATGAACCCACTCTCGGAAGTAAGCCTAACCTCAATTTATTAATTAATTTAACCTCAACGTGTTTGATTATTATTTCTATGAAGACGATTTCCCTTCCTTTTCATCAAGAATTGTCTCCAATTATCCCCTTCCAAGTCATCGATCCAAAGTGAACCTATGGACAGATATGGTATCCTTGCGGTACACCCGCACGCGCTCAGTTCTAAAATAGACCAGCGTGGAGGAACCCTTTTCCTATTTACTATCTCCTAAGTCTATTCCCGTATTTCCGCTCCTTGGCTTTCTCAGGCCGTATCTGTCTCTATATCGGGTCTCTCTTAGGTCCTTTGTTGTGTACACTGTTATTTTATAGTCTCTTTTCTTTATCTAGGATCATCAACTGATTGAAGTAAACTTAAGTGCGTACATTTTATCACATAAGTGACTTGTGTCTATAAAAATCGTATCCAAATTGACCCCTTCCCTGGAAATGGCATTTGAAAGTTTTATCTCTAGAAAGTGAAAACATCTAATTTTACAATAAAAGCATTGGGTCTAAGACATATGAAGTATCGATTTAACGTAACTAACTAGATGTTATTTCAGTCTCGTTCTAGTGTCTGCTTATATCTTGGCTTCGCAAGTGATATTAGCTCTGTTTTAGTTGCAATATTAAGTTTCCGTTTGTTTTTTTATTTAAAATTTATATCTATTACAGCTAATTAGATCATTAAAACTATTATGAAAATGACCATAGGATATGGCAATTACAATATGGGTGTAAGAGAGATAATAAGAATAAATTCAAATAAATAACCTGATCACTGATTGTAATCTCTCGACGTAAAAATAAGAATTTCTTTGATTAGAGTTTAATAATTGATCGTTCTTAGTTTTTGAATTTTTTTTATTCTGGGTAAACATAAAAAATAATAAAATATATCAGTATGTTATGTCTGTATTTAGTCTAAGGAATTGCCAAGCATTGGAGACCTACGTCCAGTAGTAAATTTTCTTTCCAATCCCATTTCAGTCGTACTGTAGGTACCAGAAGTTTAGATCCAGCCCAGAAGAGGGTTAAACGGCTCAAGTTATGTCATCAACATTTTTGAGAGGGATACATTTTCACAGGGTTTTGAATTTTCGAGGTCTCATTTAGAAGGGGAAGGAGTTATGCATTTTCGAAGTGAAAAGTTTCAAACATGAGAATAAGGGGGAGTATGGGGACTTGAGGCCTCAGCAAGTGTATTTATTAAATTACACTTTCGCTAGCGCTGCTTTTAAGAAGTGGATGGCAATAAAATATCTTGGGAGAGGGATAAAGTTCATGCGCCGTCGATCTTGGGCAGGATGGGCATTGCTGATAAATAATCTAACACACTAGCGGATCCAGGATTTAATTTTTGGGGAGAGCTTCAGCCCGAAAGATTTTTTTTTTCATATATATATATATATATGTATATATATATATATATATATATATATATATATATATATATATATATATATATATATATATATATATATTAAATATAATTACACGAACAAGAATACTTTAAGAGATAGTATATCATATTTTTTTCAGTAAAACATGGTTATATCTTACCATATTGGGGGAAGGGCTTCAGCCCGAAAGCCCTCCGTAGATCCGCCTGTGATCTAACATATTAGCTTAATGTAATTTACCATACAGTTCCGTAAAATGTACATTTTTCTCTACAAATAAACCTTTTAGTTTTTTTTATTGTTTTCTACCATAGCCCTGCTTTGTATTGTTTATTTAATTACTACCTGTTCAGGGTGCATGGACCAAACTAAACATCGCCATCATTCCTAATCTTTTCCCCAACATTATTAATAAATCCTAAATAAAAGCTCGCAAGATCAGGCGATGGTTCCTTAACCTTTCCCAGAAGCGTATATCGTCTACAAAGGATACTATCGAGCCTTTGTAAATTCCGCTTCCATTATCTCAGCGACATTAAGTTTATTCCGTAATATGTTTACGGAAGTGATTATCCAGGCAATGAACTCCTTACGTGTTGTTGACTTAAGATCCTTTATTGGAACAGTTCTTTATTAGTATTTATAAAGTAAAAGGCTTGCATTGCTTATTTGTGTATGTTTAATATTACTGTTGCTGTTATATGTAATAATTTGGGAACATATAGGCTTGTTTTCTCCATCAGATTTATTTACTTCTTACGGATCCTCATGATAGTCAATATAATTAACAATCGTGTCCATTATTATTCTCTTTGCCAATTCGATATTAGAGGAGCGGGGTAGCTCAGTGGTAGGGCACTATGCTTCCAATGCTCAAGATCCGAGGTTGGAATCCTGGTTCATGGCAGAAAAATTATTTATTCTGTTTTATTGGCCTTGGGGCGACCCTCGGTTTAAGGAGAGACACCCCCTGGGGCACACCCAGTCTCTAGAAAGTGGGTATCCTTAATTAAATAATTGATTAAGGGAGACAACCTGGCGATTGAGCGTGGTCCTGGCCCGATCCCCTCCATGCACAACCGTTGGCCTTGTAATAGTACTGAACCCAAGAGCTTCATGGTTTTTTTTTGGGGTTTTTTTCAATTCGATACTAACGAAATTTAAATTTCATTCTTCTCGGGTAAAATATGCATATGTAACATGACAAATTATTTTACATACACAAGAAAACTATGGAAATACGGTCTTAATTAAAATATCTGGTTTGATACAATTGTAGTTTAATTATAATTTAATCAAAATATTTATTTAATTACAATAATATAGTGTTATTTAAAAATCATAAATATATATTGTAGACTACAGATTTAATATATTATTATTTTAACTGGAGAGAAATTATATATTTTTCGATTTAATATACTGTTATTAAATGTTGACTTTTATAGAACGAATAGTTTAAAAAAGGGTACTCAAAATTAAGCTTATCCGTTCTGAAAAAAATCTTAGTTCCTGACTATTGTTCTTAACTGTATACGTTGTATAGGTATATATTTTTAAAGTAAAACTTAAACCGTAGAAGCTTACTTTTTGTATCAAAATTATTTATGTTTTGCGAGATGCGAAGTGGCTGGATGAAGTCAAACGCGATGGAACCATTGAAGGTTGATTTTAATGAAAGTCTTATTCTTTTTGTAATAAAAAAAAAAAAAAAAAAAAAGAAGATAAAACTAAGAGTTAAAGCACTCTGAAGAAATCCTCCATTTCACCGCAACATCAAATCCCATTTCGTCCCTTGCTTTCAAAGAGCTTAAGGAAGACTTTACTTGCTCGGCTAAAAGTCGTCATTAAGGGATTGACACGTTGGCCAAAGCTTCTTTCAATAATGTTTGAATAAGAATAAAATTTATTTATATAAAAAAGATTATTATAGAACTTTTAAAAAAATTATTCCATTTGTTAACATTACATTGATTGAAAATAAATACTAGCCTATTCGATATCCCTACCTCGCAACAGCAATCATTATTGCCTCTTTTCAGACAATTTATAAACATATTACAGTTGAAACTTTTTCCCATTGTATTAATTCTTAATATGTATGTCCTAGCATTTTATCCTATTTTATTTTCCAGTATTAAATATCTTTAAACAATTATATTTTATAACATCTTAAATAAAGGGTGTACAATTCTAGGATAAAAACAAACTGCGAGCTTTGGACACTAACCTTAACCCTAGAAAAAAGGATTGAAAGCTTTGAGAGAAAAATTCTCCGGACGATAGCCGCCGCGATCTGGAATCAGAGTACCAAAGCATCTAGCAGGACCAAGAACAGAAAATAAAATTATAACATGTTATTATTACGCTTACACTCTTAAACCGTCGCTAGTATAGTTTTCATAAAATTATAACTATGCTTTATAGTCTGCAATCCTTGCTCTATAGTGATCGGATCTATGTATCTCGCTACAAGTTCCGACCTAACACTCGCCCAAGTTTCTCTGTATGCCTTCTGAAAACGATGTCTTTATATTTTATTATTTTTTTAATGGAGAAAGCAGATACTGATAAATACATTTATATTAATCACAACGAAGTTTTGCGTTATGAATTAGCTGACATGTTAACTCATCATCTCGTAGGGATATAACTTGGCTTTTGGGTTATACACACACATTAGGTGTGTATGTATATATATATATATATATATATATATATATATATATATATGTGTGTATGTGTACATATAATATTGTGTAATTCAATAACAGGATATTACACATCCGTTCTTCCATAAAAATCGATAAAAAGCACTCTTTTCAATCCAAATTCAATGAAGTATACCAATGGTTCCCCAACGTTTTGTTTGCCCGCGGGCCACATTGTGACCACTAATTCCCGCCTGCCGTATTGAGATCTCCATATAAATCCTACTGGAAATGATCTTTCTATGAGAGATAACTAATACAATAAATAATAGTTGTGTTGACCTCTTATTTGAATGATTTACTAAATATTATATTTTAAAAATTTTATCTTGTAATAACAGAAACTTTCGCAGGCCTGTCTGTAAGCGCTAACGGGCCGTAGTTTGGAGACCCCTGAAATATACCAACAGACTCTTAAAAATAAAATTTATCCCAAAGGCAATGAAGATAGGTTCACAATATTTCCTTCTCCAATATACTCCTTCTTTGTCAATATTTTAAGTTAGGCTCCAATTTTTTCTCTACTCCTTCAAATATATATATATATATTTATATATATATATATATATATATATATATATATATATATATATATATATATATATATATATATATATATATATGTATATATATATATTTATAAATTTAATTCTATATCCTTCAAAATAACGTGTAGAAGAGCTAGATAAACTGTGTACGCATTACGCAACCCATACTTCCAAATATGGCGTTACAACTTTCATTAGACACGTCCCCACAACCTTCTGACCTAGTCTATTAGGTAATTACCGCATGTTTCTCCAGAGTGGACAGCTTCCAGCTCCAGCCAGCTCTGTGCCAGGATGGCGGGCTAACCTGAGAGGTCAGTGATCCTCCTCCATCGGTTACTTCACCCTCATCAGTATCCTCATGTAACCAATCTTCAGCCAATATGTAATCCATCCTTATCCGTTTAGTTACCTTCTCGTTTATTTTCTGTTTGTTTATTTAATTTAAATGAGATCGTTTACCACCGTCGGGAGTGCTGTTTACCCAACAGCCGGATATTGAAGAGTTATGCCACAGGAATTGAACCGTATTACCTTATTCCGGAAATTCGTTAATTTAATTAAGATTATATAATCTCTAGGGTTGCTGATAAACCAAATTTAAAATACGTTATTCGTTGCCCAATGTTATTTTTCAGGAATGTATTTCAATGTTATAAAGGCATTTTTATAAGTATAGCTGAGATTTGTGTTTAGTTGTTACATCATATTTATCGAATACAAATGTTATAGACCTTTAGAACGCGCATTGTCAAAAATGACATTTTTAAATTTCGCACAGTATATAGTGTCTGTTACAGGATTCATACTGCACAAAATATTTTACACAAGTTTAGTTCACGCTAACACTTATAAATTAACTTATATTTAATAATCTGATAGTTTTGACCATTATTGGAGTTAATCCTTAATTAGAAGACATGGATCACTGAATACATTTCTTTCTTTTATTTAATTATTATTTATTTGTTAGCTTAGAGCTCTATACCATCTTCTGAAAACAAATTATAATCTAAAACATAATACCTTCTTTATAAATAATAAATATATATATTCATCGCGGCGAATCAAATGGGCTGGTAAAATTGTTGGGCTTAGTAACGAGAGAATTCCTAAAAGGTTAATATTTGGTGTACGGAATGATAAACGTCCGAGAAGTAGACCGAAGCGAAGGTGGGAAGGTTGCATTAAAGCCGATCTGAAGGGACTGGGTTTGGACGACGAACCGTGGAGGGAGGTGTGTAATAAGCGATTGGTGGTGTCGGCATCGAACCTTCGGGTTCGCTAAGCCTTTTATCATTATCATATATATATATATATATATATATATATATATATATATATATATATATATATATATATAATGATAGTTTTTTATATATAATATTTTTATATTTATATATAATAATTATAGTTTTTTTTTAGACTGGATCAATAGGAAAGAATTGAATTGGATATTTGTCGGATGAAAATACAGCCGAGGATATTGAAACAACAGATTTAGGAAATATTAGAATTACAGAATTACATACACGTATATTAGCAGAATAACTGAATAAGAATATGGTTATTGTTTTTTTGTTTTTTAATATTTATTATTCACCAATAACATACACCCACATGTCAAGGACACTCCAGTGGAGGTTGTGGTAAGAGCTCTAAGTCGCGAGAACTCAATTTCAGAGTTAAATAAAGAAGATAGCCATTGTAATAATTTGGTTTCTGATGTCGTATTTATGTATTTGAATATTTCTACAGTAAATAATAATCGCTACTGCCTTTTCAACTTTCGAGAAGGTTTTCGGAGATGAGTGTTGGAAGTAACAGCAGCTCTTTCGTTAGTGGATCAATGAATCCTTTTTTGGTCCTGTTCCTGTTTTTTAGCTTTTGGTGGTCATAGCGTTTTAAAAGTTATAAGCAATAGAAATGCTGTGACAAATAGTAAAAAAAATGTTATTGAAATAATTTTCAAGCGGCATTACAAATTATATCTCGAGACAGGACCGGAACTTGCATTTTTCCCGGGAGAAACAAAGTTAATTTTGGCATCCCTTCTTTCATCCCTCCCCTCTCCAATTTTTTTGGTAAAAGTCAACCGTTTTTAGGTAACATGAAATAAATATTAGCACAACATAGCTTTAAGGCATTTAAATAGGCGTTGATGGCCTTAGGGCCATAGCAAACATAACCTAAATTATTTTGAAAGAGGGGCAAGTCTGCTTCGGAGTTTACTCGTCTGATTGTAAATAATAATAATTGGTAAATGGTTGACTGTCGTGGATAATGAAGAGAAGAATAGTTGGGGTGGTCAGTCAAAAAGGAAGGCAAAAATAAATGATAATATTTATTTTACGTATGCCGACGTTTCGACCTGAAGTTCAGGCCTTCATCAGGGCTAAGAAAATATATAAAATAAAAATAAATATTATCATTTATTTTTGCCTTCTTTTTTTACTGACCACCCCAACTATTCTTCTCTTCATGATTGTAAATAATGTATATATGTATGTGTTTTTGCTTTTTTATAATTTCCTTATTTTTAAGTTATTTTATTTTATTTATTGCGTATACTTTTTGATTATTATTTGTTTGTTATTTTGCTTCTGTTTGCTTTTTATTTATTTTTTTTTTTTTTTTTGTACATAGCAAACATGACCTAAATTCATTTTATTGACTGAATCAAGGTTTAAAACATTCAAAAAAACAGAAATAAATATTTTTTTTATTTTACTTAAAAATACAGTTCTAATTTTTTCCCTCCAATAAATTCGTCCGAGGAAAATGCACTGGCTCGAGAGCGACACGAGGTTCAGGTACCTGTCATAACCCTACCATTTGCTGAGAAGTTATTTTTTATTTCGCGATCGAAGGTCAGCTGGACTGTTTGGAATATTTGTATACCACGCGACGGGTCATATGAAGGCGAGCAGGAAGTATTTATAGCAAGACAGGTTGTATGTTTTCCCTGTAAATAGAAAAATTATCCGCAATGATATGCAGATGTGAGGAACGCGCGGCAATCTGTGCCAATATAGCGGGACTTGCGATGGAAGTAGGTCGCCAATTTGTCTTATATTTTTTTCATGTCCATATTATGCAACTCACTAATAATCATCTGCACATCTGCGCTGACATAACGTTCCTAACCAATATGTCCGCTGAGAATTCAACGAAAGACTATATTTCAATTTTGTACCTATTGGTTTGGTTATATTGTCAATCTTTTGAATTCAACATAAATGTCTTAAATTCATAATTTTTTTTTTTAATCTTAATTTTACTAATCAATACTTCAGTTGGTTTTGGAGCTAATATACTGTTTGTCATTAGTATGCAACTTCGTTGTTATAAGCTTTAATTTCCGTTTATATTCCATATTTGAGCCTTTCAGTTGGCAGAATGACTAACTCCAATTTCAACATTTTTTATTATTAATTTTAGTGGGAAAACTTATACTTTTATTCACAGTTCTGTATTTCAAAAATGCAATCACCTACTCTGAAATCAACTTACTCACTGTCTGTATATATATTATAAATTTTCCAACTAGAAATATCACTAAAATAACTTTAATCAAAAATGTTGAAATTGGAGTTAGTCATTATTTCAACTAAAAGGTACATATATCGATCTTGAAAATGATTGATATATTTTTTTTTCATTTATTCATTTTTTTTTTTGTTTATTTTATGGAATTTACAACTGTATACAAATGCAACTAGTAAATATGCGCAAATATAAATAATGGCATGTACAGGCTTGAAGAGTTACTACCCAGTGGTAGTAATCTCTTGTATAAATTTAAAAATACATCCAGTAAATGTGCACACGGTAATAATACAACCACATGAAAACGCTTGTTGAGAAACTACCCATTGGTAGCACTCTAATAATATATTTACATTAGTAGATCACGAAGCCATCTTCTTTTCAGACGCCTTGGAGGATTATCAGGTATCGAAGAAGAAGCAAGGTTTGAAACTTGAGAGGGTTCGGATGGTTTTGAAGTTTGTTATGGAAGGATAGGTATCTGGATTGGGTTAAATTAGAAACATATGGTACATTAAGGTCGTTATCAATATTTTTATTTATGACAAGTAATGAGCATTGAGGATTTTACGATGGATTTTGGATTATAAGGATTGGATACGAGAGGAATTCGATAGTTTAGTGGAGCCCTATAGCTCAATTCCATAAGTCCAAATTTGGTCTTATTATAGTCATGTATATGAGTCTTTTGTAATATATAGAAAGCTTAGAGCGTTTGTCTAGTAAGTGCTAGATTAGTCGAAAACGTCGAGCAGTTTCTTGTCGTTTCAGTCTTGTATGACGATTCCAAGTGAGTCGTTTGTCCAGATGAAGTCCTAGGTATCGGATTTGTTCAACAGGAATAAGTGGGGAATTGTTAAAGGATACTGGATTATGATATAGTTTAGAAAACATTACATTTGGTTGGGAAATCGAAAGACATTTTCAGTTACTTTTTTCATCTATCCTTGTATTTGAGTCCGGTCATCAACAGTATTACGAAATTTTAACGGCTTTGATTAAGACCGCGGTGTGATCATTAGAATGATAAAGATGCAGAAGATTCTTTTGCTGTTATTCCGTAAGGCCCATAAACAAGTTCTTAACACTTATTATTATCGAAACATACAATCCTTAATAAAATCAATGAGTAGTAAGCAAATTATTATATTAATTGGTAAAAATGCGTATGTTTTAATCCATTGTAAGCTGGGTGATGGAAACAGTATATAATTTTTTTTTTATAATTGTAAACACATTCCACTTTAATTTATATTATTTAAATATCGCATGGTTTACAATCATCTACGAAATTGTCATGATTTGAAAATCAGTCAAGGTGTGAATAATTGTTTTAGTTTAAACTGGGTTTTCACTACATTAATTTGTTGGGGTTAGATAATATTATATTTCTCAGTAATTTCAATGGCTTCAACAAGGCATCTCAATAATTTCAATAACTGTTATAAATTTTCACGGGAATCTGAATAGCTGCGACGAAGTTTCACTGCAATTCCAATAACAGAGTCGCATAATTTTAATAGTTAAATCAGATTTTCAAGGAACTTTAATTAGAAAAAAAATTTAGATGTGTTTGACTCAGAAATATTTTAATTTTCCCAAATCTTCTGGATCTGAACTTATTTTTTTCTTTTTTAATTGTTGTGAATTTGGTGCTTTATAACAATTGTATAGATTTTTAATTCCAACTCATTAACGATACAATCTTATTTTTTAACTTGAAAGATTGTATCTAAAAACTATTTTGGTTTTAGTTTTGAATTTTAAAAAAATCTTCAAAGTAATGGTTTTATTACAATTTTCAAAGTTTAAAGTAGGATGATAAAGCTCTGATTTCCCCATGTT